CTTTGTTCAAATATGTAGTTTTGTAAGCCTTTAGGAGTGGAAATATTGATGAGAGAAGTGTTGTACAATATCCCAGAAGGGATCCAGTTAGGACAAGTGATTGAAGAGAATGGACAATCAGATGGATGGAATGGATTTTCACAATACAGTGGAAACCGCTTATAGTGATCACAGTTATAATAATCAACCACTTATGGATCAAAAAGCTTGGGACAGAATCAGACCTGTACAAATACTGTTTAAATGATTCTCTTATAGTAATATAGTAGCCCACTCACCGTGTTCATTTAGGGACTTTTCAGATATGACAACTGCGGTTTTTGATCCCCCTACTCTGCATTGCGGGTAACACGTCCGCTTCTGGCTAGCTACCTGAGGCTAATGCAGCATGCACAGAAAACATAACAGGAAAAAGAAAGTCATTTTCTCACAATGACAAATATAGACTCACCAAAGCTTATGATAAACCATTAAATACGAGCCATTCAGATGCAGCAGAGAAGCTATATAATAAGCGATGAGAGACAATGTAATGTTGTGAAAATACGCAATGTAAATAAAATTGAATTGAACTAAATATTTATATAAAATACTGTACTGTATTATATTGTATTTAAATTATACACAGTTCAGTAATTTAATTTGTAAAGTAATGTCATTTGAAAAGTTTTTGAAACTGTTGTATTTTAAAATTGTCAATAATAAATTAACTAAATAGGGACACTGTCCTTTTTATTACTTTATATTCTTGTAAAAAAATAATATACACAGCTGTCAATTAAACATAAAGCCTGAGACATAAAGAAGAAAAAAAACAGTTATAATGATCATCCGTTTATAGTGATCAGTTTCACCCAGAGAGACATGATCACTGTAAGCAGTTTCCACTGTATTACATTGTCTGGAAGCACTTTACATTGTCCCTGGCCAATGTCCCTAGAGAGTGTGACAGTGGGAAGGAAAAACTCCCCAGTATGAAGAAACCCTGAGAGGAGACAAATTCAGAGTGGGGACACAGGCAAGAGGAATCCCTGAGCACCAGCTCCCCAGCAACACACCTCTCCCAGTGAAGCCAGAGTGACAGCACTGGACACCCAGTTCATCCAAAGTCAGTGACACTGATCTCCAACCAGCTCTGCACAGCAAACTGTAACTCTAGCTGGGGTGGAAACTAGCTATCAGCTTCGACACCATATGCTAAACAGGTGAGTTTTTAGCCTTGACTAAAATAGTGACCGAGTCTGAATTTTGAACGTTTGCTGGCAGACTTTCCCATAACATTGTAGCCCTGTGACAGAATGCTCTGCAACCAAATGATTGCAATGATACATTTTGGTTCATTTATTTGTTTAATTTTTTTTTTTATTCCCTCCCTCCACTATGCAAGGGAGCACCAGGACAACAGCCCCCTGCTTGAGGGGCCCCACCAGAGGACACCGGACAGGAAGCCACCAACCCAGCCCACAACCCCCAGCCCCAGCACAAGCTGGGTCCAGAACCACTGAGGCCCGGAAGCCAGACACCCACGCACACCCCCGGCGGGAGGCCCCCCACGTACCTGTGGCCTATATATAGTGATCAAGGTCTGATTTGTAAGTGAAGTCATTATTTAAAAGTGTTTTCACATGTGTCAATGTGGGAAGACAGTTGGCAAAATAGTGTAGAAATGTGGAAATTAATATTTATGGTCTTGCTTGACGTGAATTATAGAATTACAAACTGAGTGTAAAGGAGAGAATGTGCATTCAGTTTGACACACTTGGTAAATGCATTGGCTACACGTGTTAATGGCTTCAGAGATTGTGCTTCAAAAATAATTGATAGTGTTTAAGCATTCAGAAAAAACGGTAATTGTTTTAAGAAATGCTCTTATACTCTTGAGAATGTTAAACATGTTTCATGAAATGTGCCAAAGCAATGGAGGAAAAACAAATGTCTTTGGCAAATTTTCTTTAGGTAAAACATTTTGATAAACACACTTCCCCCATTGTGACATCATTTAAGGAAGTTCTATCACACACAGAGCAGATAAAGGAACCCCATCAGGTTGACTGGATTTAGAATGAATCAAACAACCTATCAATTGAAGAACTAGTAACCTGCACATAAGAAACAAAACCGATTAGAAAGAAAGAAAGAAAGAAAGAAAGAGAAAGTAAGAAGGTATGAAGTGAAACTTCCATTTTCCAGACAGTCTGTCAGCATTTCTGCTCCTGTAAGAGTCAGTCAGCGATACCTGAGACATGTCTGATGAGCCCTGCTATTGCAACGTGGCCTTCAATTCCTTGGCTACAGGTGAGTCCAGTATCGTCTCTCCCTCATAAAAATGTTCTCCTTTACTTTGCCTGTCAGGGTCACAAATAGGTCAAACACATCTCAGCTGGTTCCACATTCATGTCTGAAAATGTCAAATGTTCTTTTCTTATTAAACAGAAATGAAGACATCATTCCTGCTTTTTGACTAAAGCATGAAAAAG